CACCCTCAATGTAAAAAATTTCTTCCTTATATCTAATCTAAATCTCCTCTCTTTCAGTTTAATATCATGCATATTCATAACAAGTTTACATATTCATTGTTATTCTCTTAAACAAGTGGTTAATTTTCTCTCGCTTTACATGTAAATTACTTCCCATGCTCGGTTCTCTTCCTCTGCCCCTTTCTTTTGGGTGTGGGGTATGTTTAGGGGAGGTGGTCTGTGAGTCGGTGGTCGCGATCTCCCCCTGCCGGAATTACCTTTCCCCAAGTCACTGCTGTGTTCCCATTCACTGTCTGTATAGACACATGTGCAGTCCCTGGGTGTGCTCTTCAAGGAAAGTTCAATTGGCTTCCCAGACAGTCAACATATTCCAGTTTTAAGCAGCTCTGTGCCAAAAAACTTCCACTGTTGTCATTCTGCATCTTTAATGCTACTGAAACTGTCAGACAAAAATTGCTTAGAGCAATTGCTTAGAGAATGAAGATGACAAAAGACTCACACTCATGTTAATCATAGAGGGGAAATACAATGGCATTTTCCAAATATGTAGGGCTGTGCTTTAACAGGCATAGGCTCTTTATTTCTCCCTTCTAGTCTATTTATTGTTAAAAATAACTGCAAAACAAAGAAAAAAAAATAAAAAAAAAAACACCAAACAATTAGCCAAATGGACTGAATCCTGAAAATTCTACCTGCATGTGATTTTTTTACTTGCTGTTGTTTTGAACTGTTCGATCATTGTAAATATGTTCTACATATGCAGTGTTATTTAAGTAACTTGTGATCATTTGCATTTTTATCTTCATAACATCCCTCTGAGATTATTCCCTTTTCAGACATGGCAATGAAGAATACAGGACTAAGGTGCTTGGGAGCATGATTAACGTCCTCTATTATTTAGATGTCTACTTCATAGCTGAGGCTACAGTGAGACTGCCACTAGGATCCGTTTGATGGTTCCTAGAGAGCATTTCTGACCATTAATCTGACCACAAACAAGTGTCTGTGAGATCAGAGAGCCTGCTGTCATATAGATAACTACACTCTAGGTAGAAAAACTTACAAAGAAAAAAAAATCGCACCCTGAAGGATTCAGACAGAATTCAGATATCTCTGGCAAATTTTAAGGACTAATTCCAGCTACATTCCTGCCAGCACTGCAGGTTCCCAAAAAAGCCAATAACATGCCTGGTAGTCTTGTCTGTATACACATGCTCTTGGGAAACTCTACAAAGGCACATCCTCTTAGGCCCTGTGTTTCAAGCCATCTCCAGCCCAGTAGTTGGGTCATTGCTTTAGTAAGACTGTGCATAAGGCAATACAAGAAGGCACTTCTCTCAAAGCCAAGTACAGTATCACGTTAACGTGGCTCCAGACACTTTAGAGAAGAGTTAGCTTTCACAGTGAGCTCTAAGCAGACTGATGCCTGTATGTTGCCTGTGACCACATGGGATCCAGAAACATGGCATTTTCCTGCCTTTGTTCCCTGAGTGTCTCAGCCCAGTTGCTGTTGACAGAATATGCCCATTATGCACCATTACTATTTGTCTCCTTTCCAAATATTCTGCTGAATGTTTATCTAAAGACAAGGTAGTAGTCTCGGTGCTCCAGAGCCTCTAGTATTCTCCAGCTCTCATTACCTCAGATTTCCTATTATGCCAAAAATCTGCTTTTCTTATTGAGTTCATAGAGCTATTTTGGAGTCTCAGAACATTCTTGCATCCCATTTCTTACAGCTGCTGCCCCTGGCTCCACAGGGGATGAGGACGGGAAGCTCTGCAGTGCTCCTCAAGATAACATTCCCTTGCCCACTCTCACCACCGATCTCCAGCTGAAAAGACTGGAGAGCCTTGGGCACCTCCAGCTCTTGCCGGTGCTTCTCATCTCATGCAGCCTCATCCAGCCTGCTCCAAGTAATTCCACCACCTCCCTGAGGACTTCCTCTTGGATGTCCTTGGCCTTCCCCTGCCTGAGCTCTGCCAGGAGGACACGAGAGGATGCTCCCTTTTATCCTTCCTTTCTGGAAGGTGATGGCAGCCCTCTCAGCCTTTGTCTTGCTCCTGCTAGTCATTGTCTTCTTCTGTGAACTCTTTGCAGAAGCTCTTACATCCCACGGAAATAAACACTTTCTAAGTTGTTCCTGAATGCAAAAAAAAAAAAAAAAAATCCCACAACTCACAGCAACTAACCAATGTCAGCTAGCTGCTTAGCAAGCCTGACACTTCTCTTCTGGCCTATGCATTTCTTGGGACCAACTACTATTCCAGTTCTAGGAAGGATTTTGAACCTGTTATTTTCTTTCTGTTTGAATCTCTGCCTATTTTCCTCTGAGACCCTGCTTTAACATAGCATTCATTTGCAATTACAAAATGAACCAGATTCTTGGTCCCAGATGTGATTTTCTTGGCAATGGAAACACGCTTTGGGGGAAAGGTAGCAAACTCCATGCGGTAGAAAATAACCAGTAACTCTCACTAACCCACAGTATAAGTTATGTCAAAAGACCCGACAGTTACCATTCTAGTTCCCCATTAATGTACACAGCTGTTAAGAACTGGTCACTGCTGATGCTTTTTTCCTTAAAATACTATAAATGTTTCTCCAGATTTAACCACTGCATTAAATTAGCAGTCGTTTCCCACACACTGTTTCAGCTTCTCTGCCCCTCTGTCAAGTGTACCAAAAAAACAGCGGAAGAACACACTTTGTATGGGGAAGACGCACAAAAAAGATTAAATTTTCCACATTCAAAGCACATAGCAGCAACAGAATTCTTCCCCTTCCCCCACAGTACATGAAGGAAAATCCACTATCTTTTAAATTATTTGAATCTTACATTTCTTAGATTCTTTGAAAAGTTCACACTAGATTTTATTTTCAAATTAAGCAGAATCCATTTAAATGTGGCATTTGTTTAAAGACCACAATACACATCTAGCAGTATGATGTCATCAAGGTGACAGTTTATTCTCCATTTAGTACCCAGGCCAATTGAGTTTATATTGAATTAGGTTGGCCGATATCTGTCAGATAGCCTGTCGACCAGGTGAACGGTCTCAAGCGAGCCAGAACTAGTCAAGAATTTGCACAAATTGGCAACTAGCTTGAAATAAACATGTTTTTGAAAAAGTTGTAATTTTTGCTATGTGGTTTCCAAACTAAAATTTTGAAACTTGCTTAGAACCTTGCTGAAATTTAAAGTAAAATGAGAATTAAAATGAAGCTCCATGCAGAAAATAAAATTCTTTGGTTTCAGCCACACAAAATGATTGACCAAACAATCTTTTGGATCAAATGAATGGATTGTTTTTTCACTTCACTACTAGCTTTGGTACACCAAAACATTGTAATACAGAAAATAATAGCTAAATAGAAAACTAAACCAAAATCCATAGTACATGTCATTCTTCTTTTACAAAGAGCACCTTTCTGCTAGCATCTAGAGAATGAAAAAGTATCTTTGGAAAAACACACAGGAAACACCTTAGAAAGCGAACCATTCCAACATTAGGGTAACGAAAAAACAAGACGGGGCCTTCAACCCTTGTGAAAGGATGTGAAAACAAACCAGTACAGCTACAGGTGTGCTTTGTCTATTGATACATAAACAACTCTAGCAAAGAGGGCTCTTCTAATTTGATTCAAGCCTGGAAATGCTTCTCATACACACAGACCTAAATCTCAAACTCTGGACCAGAATCTTAAAGGAGACAAATCTAACTAGCAGAGATATGAAACACCATTATTTGGCCATTCAACCTCTATTTTATTTGTGTGCATAAGGTACAGAAAAATGAAGTGGTTTGTAACAGATGTTGCTCACTTACAATACAAGAGCATTCAACTGAAAGGCATTTTCTGAAATGACAGAAAAGAGAGGTTAACAACACAAACGTAGAAGTTGTTTTATTTTAGGCATATCTTTATTTAAACTGTTACATAGGAATAGTTTTATAGAATAAGATTTCTGAGTAGAATTTTTTCTCTTTCCTCCTATGTCTGTTCCAAGCTTTGATGTTCATCCTTTAGTTCCCACACTCTTCATGAGACAAAGAATTATTTATGTACAAAATTATGCTCTGAAAGGCACCTCAGTCAAATGACACCTTTATATTTATTTGTAGGATATCACTTGCACAAATTGAAGTGAGAGCGGGGAGTATACAATGAACACAAGTCATCAAGAATAATAATTATAAAAGAGGAAAAATAAAGAGTCTGGCATATGAAAGTTTCTTCATTAGTCCTTAGTATATTTATACTCAATCAATTTCCTCTCACATTTTCCAGCTCCGTAAAATAAGACCTGTATATCTTCTCAGAGTTTGTTTGTAGGCCGTACAATTCCAAGTAGCAATGCTTAAAGGCATTTTATAAACTATTTTATAACGTGGCATGATTATTTCCCTGCGGGGATAGTCACTGGGCACATAAATTGTTCCTATGCCAGGACAATACTTCCAGCTCTTAACAATGACGTTTTTGACTGGCTTCTAGCAAAAGCTGCCACTTAGTTACATCCATGTTCAGTTCCTTTGTCAGCGATCTTCTCTCCAAGTCACAAGGTTAACAGACGAACACCTCAAGTGTCCTGCACAAAAACTCAAGAGATATCATCTCCCCCAAAGTCAGTGCTACACCATGCGTACATAAACTTATATACAGTTTCACAAAACTTAGTTTACCAACCAGCTTTACCCATGGGAAAGTAACTTCACGCTTTTTGCAGCTAAAGGGTCCATTTCCCTGGGGGGGACTCTCCTGTCTCTGGGAGCTGCCTGTGAATTCCATGATGATGAAAGGCCTGATGGAAGTAGAGAGCTTTGCGCCAGCAACATGGATGGCCAAGCTCAGAAGCAGTGACTTTCGGCAGCAGTAGCGGACAGCTCTTTGTTCACAGGAGCATTGTCTCTGTCTCAGTATCTCTCAGGTTCCATTTCAGCAGATCTGAAATCTTTATGTCAAATTTCTCTCTTTGTCCTCCTTCCTTACCATATTTGGAAGAAGGAAATGGAGAAAAAGAAAGCCCAGAGGAACAACTTACACCAGGATATCACTCCTTTTGCTGCACCATACTACCAGTGTTATCATTGCACACGTCAACACGACCGGGATCAAGATCAGAGTTATGAGAATTTCATCTGGTGGATCTTCCCAGTGAACCTTTTCTGAAGTACAGTTTGAAAAGAATTGTTTATGAATTCCAGTGATAAAGCCCTCTGCGAGGCGATTTGGCCAAAAGCAACTTGCATTGTTGGCTTCATGTTCCGTGCACTGGGTAAAGTTGTCGTAATACCTAGGAGAAGAAGAAAATGAAGAGAAGTTTAAGCATAATGTGCATATGTGTTCTATTTAAAGAAAACTACATAGAGTGCCATATAGAATCTATAAGAGTGGATCTCTCATGTAGATAACTCTGCTGAAGGACCTTTAATGGGAGCTGTGGGTATCAAACAGTACACAGTGAGCCAGGAGGAGAACTGGCTCACACATATTCATACAATTGAGAGATTTCATGTGAAATCCTGAAATCCTGGATGGACAGTCATCAAAACCCTGTCTTTTGGGTGCTTTTACTACAGCCAGGACCTCCTAATAGCACTTAAGTAGAATTAGGACCCCCTCGCCAGGGACATCCACAGTATCTTCAAAAAATATACACACAAATGTGCCAAGAACAGAACATTTTTAGCAAAATATGGATAGTTCATGCCTCATCTGTCATTGGACATGATGTTGTGGTGCAAATGATGATGTGATGCTGCGAGTGGGCCACAACATACATTACTGTGTAACAATTTCAGTTCTGTTGTACCCTTAGGCACGCAGATGATAATGGAAAAATAGACACACAGAAAGTTTGCTTTTGACAACCTTTATCCTTTTTCCAATAGCAGCAAATGCCCAGCAGGAAAAAACAAACAAAAAAAAATCCTAAATACATGTGTTTGCAACGTTCAAGAAAGACTGGGAACCCCTTGTAATGCCTAACATTTGATTTCAACACAGCATATGTTGAAATTTACCTGTCTGAGGATAACTTGAATTTATGAGAATTGGTTACCCCTCAGGAAAAAATAGGAAACCATAAGCATAAATGAGTAATTGGATAGGTTTTTTGGTGTTATCATAAGCCAAAGAAATTCAGGAAGCGAATGGAGCATGGCGGAATGGAGATCGGAAATGAAGATGACGAAGAGCATCTGGTCAGTACATGAAAAGGGCAAGAAATAAGGAAGCTGAATGATTGTCTGTTGCATTTTTAAATATTTCTTTCAGTCCTGCGTGACTCAATAAACTCACTTCAAAGGGAAATTAAAAATAGAAAGGAGAGAGCAAGAAACCACATGACACCTCCAGGGAGAGCATCCTGCACTATTATCTGAAGGCCCTACCGTCCCTTTCAGTACGTATAAATACAGTAACTCCTGATGAACAACTTATTCTGACATTAAGTACCACAGGGGACTAATGCTGACTCAATCCTTTGCTGTTAAGCAGTGGAGGAGACACATTCAGGGTTTGGGTCAAGACTGAAGTCCACTGTCTATTGCCTGTCCGTCAGGGGAAACATCTGCCTGCCCACACTACGAGCACATAGGTTGAGAATACAGGCTGCAGAGCATCTACGTTCTCAGGGCTGCATTCACAGAAGAAAAAGCCTCACAGAAAGGTCCTTCTGCAACCTCCTCACAGTTCTCATTCTCAGGAAGTCTGAACCAGTGCTGCTTTATTCATAAGCAAATACACTGGACGATCTGACAAGTCCACACCCAGATGCTCTGGCAGGCAGACACATACACACACACACACAATGTATGTATATTTTAAGCAAAGCAACTAGAAAGGAAGCTTTTGTGACAACATCGGCAGTTGCAGGGAAACAACAGGAAACGAGCTAAAAATAAAATACAAATATTAGCTGTTTGTTATTTTAAAAGTGTCATTCTTCCTTACAACCCCGTAGAATCCATTCTTTATGTCCTTGGACTAAATTGGAAGCTGAAGATGTCTAGCTGAATATGGGAGAGACAGTCCCAGAGGACCTGAAGAATAATACATCTCAAGGCATGCCTACAAGGTTCGACAGACTACAATGCAGAGACAGCTGAGCGAGCATCCAGTTGCCCAGACAGGTCAGTGCTCCGTCTAGCACAGACACCAAGCAGGGCTCCAGAAAGCGTCAGGCTCTGCTCCAGCCCAGCTCTGTGCCATGCTCTGGTGAGCGAGCTTCTCCAACTGATGGCTGTTTCAGCTCCCTGCTGCCACCCCCACCTCAATTTGCCCATCTGTTCATGCAGAATAACAAAAACAACCTGAGCAGACTTCATTATCCTAAACTGAAAGATTTAATGATATAAAAACTTTTTTTCCCTGAGTCTGAGATCCTATAGGAAGTTCAGTGTTCTTCCAAGAATTCTGTAGATTTTTTTTCCGTAAAAGTTAGAGGATGTAAACAAAAACATTTCCTACTGACTTTGCATTTCAAGTACGACATAGCTAGAAAAATCTAGTTAAATGTTGCCAAACAGCCAGATAAAAATATTTAGGGAAGTATATTGTATTTGAAAGACTAAGTCCCTAAGAGTCAAAATAGAATAAAAATGTTATCTTAACAGTTCGGTTTTCTTACAATTTTCCCTTAATACCCTCTCTCTCAAAAAAAAAAAAAGCTACCTGCACTATAACTGTTTTTTCACATAATTGTGGGAATGTAGGTAAGAAAAAATCTCAGCTATTTGAGAATTACATGTCTGCCAGTAAAGCTAAATTAACTTAAATATTTATGTAATTTAGTAATTTAGAGTTTATACACTGCAACAGAAAGTTCACATTAAAAAAAAAAAAAAATCCTGTGCATGGTGCTGTGTAACAGCTGCCTCAGAAGGGAGCAATTGAATCCTTGTTTCTGCAGCCTGGGCATTCTGTAGTTATCAATAGGTTTGCAAGTTGTTGGGCTTTTTTAAGAGGGAGGTAGGGGTTAATAGATATTTAATTCGAACTCAATTCTCCTATGCTTAATTCTCTTATGCCTTATGCAATTCTCTATTCAAATCATAGAGACTAGGGTAGGAAACCTTTTCATTCTGTATAAGAAAATGCCTATCACAAAGACACACTGGCCTCTGACTGGAGGTACCTGAACACAAATGTATAAAAATTACACACTTTGTGAAAGGAATGAATGAGAAATTACATTTTTCACTTATTCCATAACAAGTAATTGGAGAGCAGTACAGTAGCACAAGCTCCTTCACCTCTCAGATTACAAGAAGGTGTGGGAAGGTTGTTATTCTCTGTGCTGAGTCACATTTTCATATCTTTCAGGCTAGCTAAAAGGACTCTAGTTAGTTACTACTCAGAAAAGATATCTTCACTGAGAGCCAGGTCATGAGCGTTGTGATCAGTGGGCTGAAAAATTAATGTATCTGTGAGTTTAAACTCAGTTCAGTAGGCCAATACTAAAAAACACAAACTAAACATAGTTTGAGTACCAATATTCATACAAAGATACGCCTTCCCTTGATATGCTCAGGAGAACCATTGTAAGTTTTATTGAGAAACCAACTACTTGGTCATACTGCATAATATTGAAAATACTTTCGGAGAACATAAAAAATACTTCATTCCTCTGTGGAGCAATCTCTGAGCTGTAACACATTTGTCTTGAAAGACAATTTTCAGTATTCTAGAACAATGCTTCATTTTCAGAGCACAAACACTTTTTCTCCTGTATTTTATGTTTCGACTAAAGCAGATAATAACAATCGTGTGGTTAGTTTTTGTATAAACTGTGGAAAGTTTTATTTTGTGAGTTATTTTACCCATGAGAAAACGTATTTATATATATTTAACTATAACCAAGAACCTGGACAACAGGCAGTTATCATCAAGAATGGTAGTGCACACATTTGCCTTAATGGGACGTTTCGTGTAGCGCCCACTCAAATTATTTAACTAGACAGCTGGATGTATTACATCTCACCCACCTCAGGGTACTCAGTTGCCTATTGCTCAGTCTAAGTGGGGGCTGGAATCTCATCTGTAGTTTCCCACATCCCCAGGGAGGGATGTGGTAAATTCTTGCTCTTTCTTCCTCAACATTCCTGCACAGAAAAACTGCAGAGATGATTGATTTTCAAATGAAAAAAAATACAACTCTCTCCTCCAAATTTTCTTAAGACCAAGAAAACAAATAGATTGCTTCATTAAGAGTTTCAACAAATGAGCACTTTCCAATGAAAAATTGTTCTTTCAAAAAATCCCAAACAATTCTCTAAAAGCAGAGTACCATATATCATGCTACTGAAGACAAACTTTTGAAGGCATTCTCTGGCTGCAGCCAGTAGACCCACCGGCAGTTCCAGTAAGCAAATGTTGCCACCTCTGCAGCATTCATGGATAGACCACCCCAGAGACACTCTGCACACATGCAGTCAGGGATGTTTTGCCATTGCTTAATGAGATGGGTCAGGAATTAAAAAACAAAACAACCACCGCACTTTCAACATCCTGTTTTACATAAATCAGCTTCATGATTAGTGATACAATTACATAAGGGTACAGCAGGGTACGTACATTATGAGTTAATTTTTGTTATTTTGAGTCCACTAAGTGTCCAGAAAATACAGGGAAAATTCTCTCTAGCATAAATGAGTCTTGATGTAAATCAGGTAATAGATACGCCAGGGACACTCACTCCTTCTGCTACTCTACAATCCTGGACAGAAATCCAGAGGCACTGTTCCAGGATACTACAAATTCTGTGGTATATTTTAATAAAGATGTTTTAAAACTCTTCCCCCCTCCCCCTCCAGATGGCTCAACCAAAGAATTTCTTTACACATAGTCATATATTAAATTAGAGTTCAAAGTGAATGATCATACTTGTAACCTCCACCCAGTCTGGAAGGAGAAATGCTGAAATAATAATAATTATAAATATCATATGATGAGAAAGGCTCTTCTCACAGCATTTCCAAATGAAGTAGAGGCAGGAAGTACCAAACAACCTCACAAAAAAATAGTCTATTCTTGTGTAATATCTAGCCAGATTTTATAGAATTTAAGGGTGTAACAGTCTGGATGAACTTCAAATAAGGATCCAAACCTTAAGATGATTATCTCCTGAGGTTTCACCATCACATTAAAAGGAAAGCTTTAGTTTTATAATCGGCTATGAGCCTACAAGTACAGTGGAATATTTCTGAGCTTTTCTCATCTCTCCAAACAGATTTGTGGCTGTATCTCACCATTCCTTTAATCATATATCTTTTGCCAAGAGGACCATTCTCA